CCCCCAGGCCTGTATACTACCTAATGAGAAAACAAACATGACTGCACAAATATCCACTTATTTTAAATGTTTAGATGTCTGGTTTTTTTTTTTTTTTTAACATTAAGAGTTTTTTCAAGCAATCTTTGGTTTCCTGAAAAAAGAAAACAATGAGCCTATAGTCCCCATATTTCCTTCCCAGGCAGTTTCTTTAGTTATAGGCATTTTGCATTCCTGTGATATCTTTTGTTACAACTGATGAAACAATATTGATACGTCATAAAATAAAATTCATATTTTAGCACCTACTCTTGTTGTACATTTTAATGTTTCTGACAAACACATATCAAATATACCCCTTACAGCATCCTGTAGAATATGTTTACTGTCCCAAAATCCTCTGGTCCACCTACAATACAGGTCCTTCTCTCCTCTCCCCAACTCTGGTGAGCAACACTTTCTCTCTAGTTTTGCTTTTTCCAGAATGTCACATGGTTGGGATTTTACAGCATTCGGTCTTTTCAGACTCTCTTCACTTACCATTATACATTTCAGTTTCTTCTGTATCTCCTTGTGACTTGATAACTCATTTCTTTTTAATTAGAAAAGCACTCCACTGTGTGATTACTAATTTTTCCATCTACCTGTTGAAGGACATCTTAGTTGTTTTCACATTTTGGCAATTGGGCATCAAACTGATAGAATCATTTATGTCCACGTTTTTCTATAGACATAGTTTCCAACTCATTTGATTCCATATTGACCATATCTTGAGTATGTGTAGTTTTGTAAGGAACAACAAGCTTTCTTCCAAAGAAGCCACACTATTTTGCTTTCTTATCAGCACTGACTAGTTACCTTTGCTCCACATCCTCACCACCACAGCATTGTGTCGTCAGAGTTCTGAATTTTGGCCATTCAAATAGATGAGTGGAACTATCTTGTTTGTTGTTTTCAATTTTTATGTGTATGAGTGTATATATGTGTACCACATGCATGCCTGGTGTCTGAGGAGGCCAGAAGAGGGTGTTGTAGCCCTGTAACTGAAGTTGCAGTTGGTTGTTAGCTACCCAATGTAGGTGCTAGGAACCAAATCTGGTTATTCTTCAAGAACAGCAAGTCCTCTTAACTGCTGAGCCATCTGTCCAGCCCCAGAAGTAACTTGTTTTAATTTGCAATTTCTAATTGTGTTGATGTTGAGCACGTCTACATATGCATGTTTGGCATCTGAATATCTGGTAAGGTGTCAATTTAGATTTTTGCTTAGGCCTTGAACTTCTGATCCTCCTGTCTCTACCTCTCAAAGTGCTGGGATTACAGGTCTGTGTCATCATGCCCAGTGTATTCCATGCTGGACATGAACTCTTGGCCTTGTTTATGCTAGGTAAGCACTCTGCCAACTAAGTATATTCCTAGCCCTTGTGTTGGATGGATGGATGGATGGATTGATTAATTGACTGATTGACTGATTGAGGCAGGCTATCTCACTACATGCCTACTTTGGCCTTGAACTCAGGATCCTCCTGCCTTAGCCTCTGGAGTGCTGTTTACTTCTTTTCTTCTTCTACCCTCTAAACTAGGAAATTGAACCTAGGGCCTTGAGCAAGCTAGGATTACAGTCTACATCCCCAGCCTGTTTTTGTTTTGTTTTAGTCTTTTTTTTTTTTTTTTTTTCTGTCTTTGTGAGACAGGGTCTCCCTGTAGCCCCAGCTGGCCTGGAGCTCACTAAATAGACCAGGCTGCTCTTGAACTCATAGAAATTCGACTGCCACTGTTGGGATTAAAGGCGTGTGCCACCAGCTTGTTTGTTGTTTGTTTTGAGGCACAGTCTCACTATATAGCTCTGGCTGGCCTAGAACTTACTATGTAGACCAGGCTAGCCTCAAACTCACAAAGATCCATATGCCCCTGCTTCCTGAGTGATGGGATCAAAGGCATACCCTACCACACCAGGCTTTTAAAAAACAAAACAAGCCAGGCATGGTGTCATACTTGTGAGGCAGAGGCAAGCCTTATCTACATAGTGAGTTCCAGGCCAGCTGGGGCTACAGAGACCCTGTCTCAAAAAGACCAAAAAACAAAACAAAACAAAACAGTCTCCTATATACCAAGCTGAACTCAAACTAGTGATGTAGCCAAGGTTGACCTTGAGTTTCTGATCTGCTACGAGCTCCTGAGTGCTGAGATTAGAAGCCAGCACCACCACACCTAGTTTTATGGCGTGCTGGGACTATAACAGAGCTTCCTGTATGCTAGATAAGCACTTTGCCAACTGAATTACACATCCCCAGTCCCCCAGTCATTTTTTAACAAATATTTTATTTTATGTATATATAACTGCACCCATTTCATGCAATGCCTGCAGAGGTCAGAAGAGGGTGTTGGATTCCCCTGAAACTGGAGTTATTAATGGTTGTTAGCCACCATGTGGGTGCTGGGTATTTAACCCAGGTCTAACGCAAGAACATCCAGGACACCTAACTATTGAGCCATCTCTCCAGCCCCCTCCCCTTTTTTTGATACAGGGTCTCATTAAATTCATCCTTTTAAAAAATCATCTATCTTTGCTGGGTGTGGTAGCACACGCCTTTGATCCCAGCACTCGGGAGGCAGAGGCAAGTGGATCTCTGTGAGTTCAAGGCCAGCCTGGTCTACATAGTGAGTTCCAGGACAGCTGGATCTACAGGGAAACCCTGTCTCAAAAAGACCGAAAAAAAAAAAAACATCTATCATTATAAATGTGGGTAGTGTGACTTAGTGCAGATTAAGTACCTGCTTAGCATGAACAAGGCCCTAGGTTTGATCCATAGCATGTATAGTATGTTGAAAACAGCTTTTCCAAGTTTGTCTTTATTCAATGACAGGAAATTAACAAACTCTTGCAAGGACCCTGTTTTAGAAACTGCCAGAAGGAGAACTCCTTGCTGCCTTTACTACTGCCTGCTAGGACAGGCTTCTTAACATGGCAGGATTGACTTTGAGGGCCAGGAAATGTTGGGGCAATCAGAGTGTCTACATCATCAGATATTATCTTGGAGGTAAAATGGTTCCCAACTGAGAACCAGTGATTAAGGAAAAGTCTAAATTGTTCTAACAAAAAAGCCCAACTGAAATCCAGGCTTAGAAAAGACAGACTGGGGCTGGAGAGATGGCTCAGCAGTTAAGACCTCTGGCTGCTCTTGCAAAGGACCTGAGTTCAGTTCCCAGCACCCACATGGCAGCCAACAATGGACTGTAACTCTAGTTCCAGGGGATACTATGCCCTCTTCTGACCTTGAAGGCATTGCACAACATAGGTGTAGTTACATAAAAATAATATTTTTTAAAAGATAAAACAGTGAGTGAGCATGGTGGCACATGCCTGTAATCCCAGAGCACTGGAGTTAGAGGCTAGAGGATCACAAGTTCAAGATCATCCTCAGCTATATAGTGAATTTGAGGTCAGCCTCAACTACATGAAGCCTGTCTCCAAATAAATACATAAATAACTTCCCCCTAAACAGGGTGCAATTGTAAGCTATATGGCTACAGTCCAGGAAAGATCAAATAATTGGGAATAATATAACCCACTACCCTTCAAAAACTTCAAACCTGGTTAGGCAGGCTCAATAAGGAAACCACACAATTACTCTGGGTGTTTCATGAATTAATGTCACCAAGGGCTCATACAACATCTGAGAGAAATGGGAGACCATGGTCAGAACACCTGGCAGGAATGCTGGATTGGCCTGGAGAACTCACCTGCAAAGTGCCACTCTCAAATGGAGCGTTCCTATTGGTCTCCCTTCAGCACAGTGAAGCCAGTGGTTCTTAGCTCATTCAAAGCTGGGGGTGTGGGTTTGGAGAGGTGGTTCAGTGGTTAAGAATACTTGCTGTTCTTGCAGAAGCCCCAAATTCGATTCCTGGCACCCACATGGGGACTTACAACTGTTAAGATTCAGAAGGGCAGAAAAAGGAAGGAGTTTAAAGTTTAGAAAGAAGAGTCAGAGCCAGACCTGTAACAGGCAAGGAATGTGCTCCTGGATTCAGGAAGCCCAGCAAAGGGCTGACAGCTGTTCCTCAAGGAAAAGTGTACTAAAGAGGGAGCAGTCTGGTCTTATATAGGAATTCTGCTGCACAGCTGCAAGAGTTAACTCCATGCTAGGGTCTGGTGTCCTTGAAGGTCTCTTTTCTGAAGCTTATTTTCTCAGGCAAGCGAGTGAGTTATCTATAGCCCTAAAGGAGACAGGTGGGCTCCACAGTCTCTCAGTCCAGGGAGTGACCAGTTGCTAAGGCTTGAGCAAAGCCAGACTGCTGATTTAGGGCCAGTTAGCCACTCTAAGGAATTTATGTCTTTATGGCCTCCTCTAGTGAAGCTTATGGCTCTCCTGAAATGGTTGTTGATAGAATTCATATCCTATCAATGTAGAATTGATATGTAGAATTCATATTCTGCATACCTTTGGAATGTATTAACTTGCAGACCATAGCATCTGAAACCTGTAGCAAAGGATTTCTCTACTTTTCTATAACCCACCTACTCGCTGTAAGGACACCCAATGTGGTTAGTAAACGCTTTTTTTTTTTTTTTTTTTTGGTCTTTTTGAGACAGGGTCTCCCTGTAGCCCCAGCTGTCCTGGAACTCACTATGTAGACCAGACTGGACTTGAACTCACAGAGATCTACCTGCCTCTGCCTCCCGAGTGCTGGGATTAAAGGCGTGCACCTCCATGCCCGGCACGCATTGCTTTTTAAAGTTAAGGTTTTATTTAGTGTGTATGTGTGTATTATGTGTGTGCATACGATATGTATGTGCCATGTCAGAAGATGACTTTGTGGAGTTGGTTCTTTCCTTCCACTTTTATGTGTTTGGGGCTCAAACTCAGGTTGCTGGGCTTGTGGGTAAACACCTTTAATGCAATGAGCCTTCTCACCTGCCACTGACTTTTTTCTGACTATAAGAAGTTCACATAACTGGGCCAGTGTGGTGGTTTGAATGAGAAGTGTCCCCTATAGGCTCAAGTATTTGAACACTTGGTCAGTTGGTGGCATTGTTTGGTGAAGTCATGGAACTTTAGGAGGTGTGGCCTTGCTGGGAGTGGGGTGTTGAGAGTGCCTCATTGTATGTTCTGTTTGCTCTCTCTCTGCTTCATGCACATGCTTGAGCATATGCACCCTTAGCTTTCTGCTCCAGCCACATCCTTGCACCATGCCTTGCCTGCCATTATGAAACCAGAAGCCCAAATAAAATCTTTCTTCTATAAGCTGCCTAGGTCATGTAGGTCATGTTTTTGTTGTTGTAGTTGTTGTTTTTGTTGTCTTTTTGAGATGGTTACCCTGTAGCTCCAGCTGACCTGGAACTCACTATGTAGATAAGGTTGACCTTGAACTCACAGAGATCCACTCGCCTCTGCCTCCTGAGTGCTGGGACTAAAAGCATGCACCACCACACCCGGCTTTGGTCATGGTATTTTATCTCAGCAACAGAAAAATGAGTAATACAACCAGCGAGATGGCCCAATGGATAGAGATACTTGCCATCAACCCTGAAGACCTGCGTTTAATACCCAGGGCCCAGATAAACCAATTCCATCCACCAAGTTGTCCTCTGCCCTCCAAAACAAATACACATACAAACATATAAATAAATATAATAAAAAAATAATGTTTGTATATCACTGGAGAGATGGCTCAACAGTTAAGAGCCAGTGCTGCTCTTTCAGAGGACCCAAGTTCAGCTTCCAGTACCCACAATGGGCATCACAACCGACTGTAATTGCAGCTCCAGGGGATCCAATGCCCTCTTCTGGACTCTGAAGGCACCTGCATGTGCGCACACACACACACACACACACACACACACACACGGAAAAATTTTTCTAAAAAGAGCCAAATGTGGTGGCACACGCCTTTAATCCCAGCACTTGGGAGGCAGAGGCAGGCAGGTATCTGTGAAATTAAGACCAATCTGCTCATGTGCATAGCAAGTTCCAAGCCAGCTGGGGCTATAAGGAAACATTGTCTCAAAAAGACAAAAAAAAAAAAAGCCATAATAAAACTCATTATTAAAAAGAAAGAAAAAAACCTTCATGTTTTATGTAACCACATTCTTTTTCTCTTTTTTTTGGTCTTTTTGAAACAGGATCTCCCTGTAGTGGGCTAGCCTGGAACTCACTAGATCAGGCTGGCCTCCAACTCATAGAGATCCACATGCCTCTGCCTCTCAAGTGCTGGGATTAAAGGCTATGCCACCACACCCAGTAATAATGAGAATTTTATATAGTAATCTTGCAGATGGGGATATTTTAAATTCCAAAGCTATCATGTCAACGTGTGAAAATAATTTTAAACTTTTTATTATTTATTTGTTTGTTTGTAAGAGTGTATTGCCTGCATGTAAGTGCACCTGTGTCATTCAGTGCCCACGGAGGTCAGAAGAGGGCCTTGGATCCCCTGGAATTGGAGTTATGGACAGCTGTTAACCATCATGTGGGTGATGGGACTAGAACCCAGATCCTCTGCAAGAGCAGTCAGTGCTCTTAACCACTGAACCATCTCCTAAACTTAATTTTTTTTGTTTTGTTTTGAGACAGGGTCTCCCTGTAGCCCCAGCTGACCTGGAACTATGTACACCAGGCTGGCCTTGAACGGACAGAGATCTGGCTGGCTCTGCGTCCCAAGTGCTGGGATTAAAGGCAAGCACCACTAGGTAGGCCTGACCCTAAACTTAAATTTTAATTGATATTATTTTAAAGACATTTTAATTTTGATGTACGCATGTGTGTGTATGTGTGTGTACAACCAGGTACTTCCAGGTGCCCTCAGAGGCCAGAAAAGGGCATCGTTTCCCTAGAGTCGGAGTTACACGTGGTTGTAAGCCACCAGACTTGTGTGCTGGAAACTAAACATGGGTTCTCTGCAAAAGCAGTACTCACTTTTGCTGGGCGTGGTGACGCACGCCTTTAATCCCAGCACTTGGGAGGCAGAGGCAAGCCCATCTTTGTGAGTTCAAGGCCAGCCTGGTCTACATAGTGAGTTCCAGGAGAGCTAGGGCTACAGGGAGACCCTGCCT